AATAACATTTAATGATGCAATTAACATTTGTTTGATGACGATCATCGTAATATAGCTGCATAAAATAATCAAATGAAGCCTAAATGTAAACTTTTCAGATTTATTCAATTAACAGTGATATTATGTGTGAATGATTATCACAATTCTGCATCCTCTCAGATACAAAATATACTGCTGCAGAGCCTCTGAATAAAACATATCATTTTTATTATCAGCCGATTGCGTGAAGATACTAATTCCCCCGGCTATTTACACTCGGGGAAACAAAAGCATTAGCGAAGTCTAAAGTTCATCAATGATCGTGGGCGTGGCTCACCAACGATGTTTCATTGGGTGGTCATCTCTATGGTGGTCATCCTCACTGATCGCAAAAATATGGCGGACTGTCATGAATAGCAGACACTGATTGATTGACTGGCGGACTGCCATGAATAGCAGACAAACATTTCTTGATTTGATGATTGATAAATTTCTTGCCAATATATTTCATTTTTGCTTGCATTTTTGCAAGATTGTGTAAATTTCAAAAGCTTTCTGAGAAAGAAAGGGCAAAAGAAGGGAGCCGATGTTAACAAAGGTAAGTTTGTTTTAAATATTGATTTGATAATTGCTTAAAAACCCGACAGCCTTTGCGTATATGAAACAACTAAACAAGACAGCATATAATTTTGGTTAATCTTTAATATTGATTCCCTTTTTTATTATATTGAATTTTTTAAATAAAAAAGAAAGCGAAGTATTTGCATGTAAGAATTTGAAATCATTTTATTGCAAACTCAAAGTTTATGAATAAAGCCATTTTAATAATTAAAGGCAGTTTAGTTTTATAAAGAACACTTTAAAACGTTTTGCGAAGTGTTTTTGGTTGAATTTTACCTTAAATTGAAGCTTATATTACGTATAATAACATACCTAACATATAAATGTTGGGCTATCGATAATTTTGTAATTAAAAGTGATATTTTTAGGCAATTTTTCATTTGTAAGAATATTCTTAGAAAAATTATTGTGTTACCATGACAACTACTTTAGATACTTCATGTTTGGAAAATGCAATGGTTTGTCAGCAAGGCAAGGGTTTCTGCATGCATGTATTAAAGTAATACCATAATACATGGATTAGTGATTAAATTCCCACAATGCAAGGGAGGTTTGTGACAGTCAGGAGGGTAAAGCATGAGGGCGAAGTTCGAAGGCACGCCCGAGGGACTTTTACAAACCTCCCTGAAACAAAAGAAACTGAGACAATCATGGTATTATATTAGTCATTCATGATTCAAATCAGATATTAAAATTTTAATCACCTGTTTTAGAAGCTAGCTGTTCAGTTCCTTCTCAAAGCTTAACTGTGCTCCTGACCACACTCCTGGTGTTCTTGTAACACTGGGTATGCTATTAAGCCTTTGCTGACACTGTTTTATAAGGTAACTCCTTGGTAAGTAAGCTCATGATAGGCAGCATCACTGACACAAAATGAATCCATTAAATAGACAACATTCTTTATTTTGTCTTGTTTCTCTGCTGTGAGGGATTTATATGCTGACTTTGTCTTTTTCACTGAAATCCAAACTTATCTTATCACTGGTTCAACCATCAGTTCATGAAAGTGTGTCTATTTTAACGCTGAATGACTCTAAAAACCAAAGAGCCTTTTCTGCATTTGTTTTGATTTGCCTAATTTTTCTTTGCTTTTGAGTATAACTCGCTTCATGCAAAGTTTGTCTTTTGTTGGAATAGAAGGAGTCACAGTTTGCTACAACAATCTCTTCCTTCCAGATATTGAATATAATTAAGAAGTTCAGCATTATTATTTTCCAAATCTTGTATTTTTTCTTGAAGATCAATTATTTATTGTTTATTTACCCTTTCTTGCATAACTTCCTGTAACAAACTTTCCGCTCTTTCCTCCAGCCATGTTATTTGATTTTGTAAATCTTGTTTGTCATATTCCAGTTGGGTCACTAAGTCAATAAGCTCCGATATCGAACAAGAGAGAGACAGTTTGAAGAAAAAGCTGAAAAATATTAAAGACAGCATTGAAAAAATCGTTCCTTTCTGTGAGATTAACGAGTGTCAATATTTTAACACTCTGAAGTTTTTTCTTTCTGTTATTACCCACCAGGCCGACTGTGCATCTTTTGGCTGCAGCACACATTTCTTTCAGTCGTTTCTCAATTCTGCCTGTACATCTTTCTTTTAAACAGAATACTGGCTGCGTTTGGGACAGATAAGGAAGCTCCGATATATGATAGAATGCAAATCATACACAACAATTCGCAGCATGTAAATGTAGCTTTATTATGCAATACCTGTAATTTAAGGTCATGCCAATAAAGCTGTTTTGAACCAAACTATCCAACTCTCATTATTTCAATGTTTTAGTGTCTAAAACACCACCATCAAAGTATGTTATTTATACATTAATAATATCAGTACATCACCCGAAAGATATGCGTCTTTGCTAAAATGACTTTTAGGTGCAGGAAAATGGACCAATTGTGGCCATCTTGCATTAATAAAAGTTGTACCAAGGTATATTATTGAGTCAGCTCAGTCTTAGGAAGATGCAATTTCATTGGTTGTTGGATATTTCTAAGTGCAAGTTCAGAGAGAAACAACCGAATGCATCAGCAAACTTGAAGCCGACAACATAACATTATTGAACAGCAACATTGACCTTTTAAGGTTGTTTGGCGAGGTCAATGCGTGGCAATCTACTGTTTTACAACATGCCTGAAGAAAGCGATGAAAACACCACAGCAATGATTCACAACCTGTTGGAAGAAAAGCTTGGGTTCGAGGAAGCTGCAATGAAAATAAAAATCGATTGTTCTCATCACTTGGGAAAAAGAAACAGGGAGAAACCAAAGCCCAACCAATTGTCGCAAAGTTCAATTATCATCAGGATAAAGTTTCAATCATGCAGAATGCAAAAAAACTAAAAGATACGGCAAGCAGAATCGGAATTTCTGAGCAATTTCCTGAGGAAATTGCCAGAGAAAGGAAGATGCTTTACCGAGAATTTAAAAAGGCAAGACGTAACAATCTAAAAGCTACACATATGTCAGAGACAAACTATAACAAACATAGATCGTTAAGTCAAGATCAAATATCATATTAAACAGGTTTTATATCTTTTTTAACTTTTACTTTTATACAAGTCATACAATTTGAATACTTTAATTCTTGTTAACAAACTAAACTTTTCTTGATTGTCAACAATGACTACTGAAAAATCAAACGTAAACAACGCGATAAAAACATGTTCATCCTGTTCTGAATTAATTTCAAATAATATTTCCGAGTGCAACATGTGTCACAAATGGTTTCACGCTGTGAAAGAATGTTTGAAATCATTTCCTGATATGCCTGACTCGCTGTTAATTTTATCTCAGGATAATAGTATATTCCGCACTTGTTTCGAGTGTAATTTATCGTCTAAATTCAATAACATAAACATAGACAGACTAAATGATTTGAAATTTAACCCTTTCCAGACAAATAACGATGTAGCTCGCAGCCAACATAACACAAATCTTGATAAATCTCTCAACATTAACGAAATAGACTGCAACTATTATTTACCAATGGAGTTTATAACAAAATCTGAAAAACATTTCAATCCGTCTGATGCATTTTCTATTATGCATTTTCTATAATGCATCTAAATATAAGAAGTATAAGAAACTTTAAATAAGAAGCTTTAAACATTTAACTGGATCACTAATCAAGAATATAAATATAATAGGTCTAACTGAAACATGGCTTAGCAATAATGACTGTGATCAATATTATAAATTAGAAGGATATGACTATATAGGATTAAATAGGGAGATTAAAAAAGGAGGGGGAGTTGGTATATATATATTAAAGAGCATATAAACCACAAAAAAATGTGAGGACTTAACCGCAAATATTGAAGATATCATTGAAAATGTTTGCATTGAAATATGCACAACCGTAGGGAAAAACATTATCATTGCAGTAATTTATAGACCACCAAATAAAAAATTGAAATATTTGAAAATGCAATGAATGATTTATCAGACCTTCCACCATTGTGGCATGAAAATGAGTGAGATTTAATTATTTCCTGTAATCTGAGTCATTTTGCCTGCCGATGGCGGGTAGGCGTTGACCTAGGGGGTTCGGGGGCATGCCCCCCTGGAAAATTTTTAAATCTGGAGTCTCTGAAATGCCATTTCCTGCATTTTGGGAGAAGATTAACAGAATTCTAAAGGTCCAAAATGGCATTAAAAAATCTCAAAAGTAACACTTTGGACATCTAAATGCAATTATAAGTTTCATTTATTTTTTATTTCGTTAATATTGTTTAAAAAGTAAGTCATTCTAAATTTAAAATGTTAATGAGTTATAGCTTGCGCTTATGTGCTTTGTTGTATTCATAAGTAGCAGATTTAGCTGCTTTTAATGCGTTATCATGCCCACACGCGAATAATGCTAATTCATCACACAAAATTAATAAGATTATAGTTTATATTTTACATAAAGCGTTGTCTGGGAAAATCCCTCATTAACTAAGCATGCCGGCCACGCGTGATAGCAAATTCGCCAGAACGTTGCATGTAGCTTTTTTTCAGAACGCGCGCTCTAAAACTGGGAGACTAAGAACGAACCACAATCAGGTTTTTATTCGCTGTTTGACGGCTTCGTAGAGCAATCGGTTTGTGTCGATAAATAATCGGATAGTTGAATATGGAACAGCGAGCAAAGCCCGCCATTTTGATACCAAATATGTTGTTGGGCCATTGATTCATTTTTACAGGCTCTGGAATTTCGGTACCTTGATGGAAACTTTTTATTATCATAAAAATGAACATTTTAACCCTCGGGCTATCTTTGGTCGAGTTTGCTAAAACTAATTTAAAAGCAAACGAGAAGAACGGCGAGACATTTGGAAGGCTGTCGTTTTAGTTTTCGACGATTAGGTCGCTGTAGTGTGTAATACCACAGGTTTTGACCCTCTACTGGTTGCCGCAATGCCACGTTTTAATGTTGCAACCTATGTGAAAGAACAAAAACGTCTGAGGGAGAAAGTTGTATTGGAGAACCGACAATTAAAATTGCTTCAAGATGAAATTTCTGCCGCTGCTAAACTCAAGGAAGAAAGGAACTTAACAGGATTAGAGAAAAGCACCGAAGGCTTGATAACAAGGTAATTTATGACATCTTTGTGTGAAGACCAAATTAAAAGCTACAAAAGTTCACGGGATTTTCGTTGTACGTTCACATGAATACCATATGAACCATGGAAATTTTCATAGCATTTCACAGTACTATGAAAAAAATACTATGATCATTGTCCTGTTTCATAGTTAGACCTCATTTCACAGGATATTGCTCTAGTATAATGCTCAGTACCCCACTAGCTTGTCTAAATGACAAACATAGACCAAATATATTGAGTGGAGGCGGGATAGTAAGGACTTGGCAAACATCTCTCCTGGACACCCGATGTTGCATCCTCAGCTGTTCGTCACCCGAAATGCATCATGTAACTAGCTAGTGTATAAACGAGATGTGCCCTAATGCACCCTACTTCCTGATTTTGCTCTGCCTAGCAAAAGACGATTTTGCTTGGCAAGGGTAAAACGTGATGAGGTGAATGTGAATATGTGAAATATTTTGTTGTCCCTTTTCGAAATAGGTAGGATATTATGAGGTGTGGATAGGGACAAAAATGCAATTGGATCGGGACAAAAATGCAATTGGATCGGACAGTGTTTAATTAATGCGGGCTGAAAGCCATTGGGTGTTAAACAATTCAATCGGGCTTTAAACAATTCAATCGGGCTTTAAACAATTCAATCGGGCTTTAAACAATTCAATCGGGCTTTAAACAATTCAATCGGGCTTTAAACAATTCAATCGGGCTTTAAACAATTCAATCGGGCTTTAAACAATTCAATCGGGCTTTAACTCATTAAGTTGCAGACTGTTGCAACATTGGCACTCCCCAAGTTGCAAGGAAAATGGCGAATTTTAGTTACTGTCAACTTCTGTCAACTGCTTTTACAAAAATACCCATATCTCAAGATCAATGTTATAAAAAACCTTGAAATTTTGCAGTGGGTGAAAATGATAAATGATTAATCAATTCTATTTTAAATGAGCCCCCACACTTAAATATATCATTAGATTTTTGGGTGAGAATTCTTGGTTTGTGTAAATTTAAGTCCCTGACATTTTGTTTCTTCATGACACCCAACATCTGAAGGGCAATAATTCAATAACCCAACATAAATGGAGAAATATTTTTTGATTCCTGGATTGGTCCACATTTATTTTCAAATTAGTTTTCATCTTGTAGGGTATGAATTACAAAATAATGAAACGCTATAAAAATTTGCTTGGGCATAGCTCAGGCACACTCAGGACATCTAGTTTACAATGGAGAACTTGAACTTCAGAACTTGTTGTTCAAGTCCCAAAAACTCTGTAACCCAAAAACACAGTGTTTGTACCTCTTTGAAGTTTTTAAATAGCTCAAATATGTTTGGAAAAACACGAAGTACAAAAATTACTAATTAAAATATAAACAAAGGATGAAAAAGGTGAGAAAATTTTAAAATGTTTGAGGTGTTTTCAATTCTGACTTTGACAGCCGGCATTTTCAAACGCAGCGTGCGGTGACAAAACAAAAGGCTTTTTATTTCGCTATTAAGAGCACTGAAAGTCGTCAAAAAGAGATAAACACTTTTGAATATTCATCAGGTAAGAATTTTAACTGAAATTCCTTTTGTTTCTGTTGAGAAAACAACGGATTTGTGGCTAAAACGTCGTGTGCGCCATTGTAGGTTGCTGTAAAATGTCAGAGAGGCGGTTTCTTTTGAAATCCGACTCTAGTTTGAAATCTGACTTTAGCTTGAAATAAGTCCTTTTCAAGGACCAATTGTATAAAAATATAATATGTACGCTCAAATAAAATGAATAATCTAATATTTAGGCATTTTAGATCGCTATAAAAGAGTGAAATAAAGTATTTCATCTTTGGTTGTTTGTCAGACGAGAGTAAACACATTGGTGACACTTTGTTGCGCATGCAGTTTTCAAAAGATAAACTGCTAAAAATATAGCTTTTATTTCACCAAATAGCAAAGTATCTTCCAGATATTATTAAAAGAGCTCAAGCGAAGTAATTCCATGATAAATAAGTGAACAATGAGACCAAAAAAGCGACTAAATTACAATTTTGGAAAGTACATAAATTTAATGGCTTCCCGCAAAAGAAGCCATTTCAGAGCAGAACGGCATTTTGTAAACTACTCTCCTGACCTATTTTAAACTTTTCCTTCAGGTAATCGATGAGTACTTCTTAGAAAATGAGCGTACATTAGTTTTATGATGTGCTTTATTGATTTAAAAATTTTATGGGGATATATGAATTTTTCTTGCCAAAAATGTATATACGCACATGACAAGTTGAACCTACTGTCTTCTGAAAGTACTTCAGCTAAAATAACAACTTGAGCAAGACGACCAACAGTAGGGTCACGAAAACAGTCGAAATCATGCCATAAAATGCACGAAAAGTCCTTCTAAAAACTTAGTTTTAAACTAGATTGAACTTGCTTTAATGCTATATCGTATTTCATGAAAACATGCCAGGTATTTTCATTCAAAAACACGCTCAAAAAAATCGTAACTACTCACTTGGATTTAGTGTTCATGTTTCTTGCGATTTCCCACTTCACTTTTCCGTTAGATTGAAAGAAATCGCTGTTTTTCTGGCTGAAAATCGCGCGACTTGATTTGGACAAGAACTTGACTTGAAACATATGCACACTCCCTTATGTTTTACAATATATTTTATATATAAAACACTTTAAAAACCTCTTCTTTTTCATCCTTAAAACTTGCTGCAAAGTCTTATCTTGTGACACTTTGCGGTTGTCACAGGTTTTGTAAAAAAATAGAGTTTTAAAATCGAAATTCTTCGCAAACTTTTGATCAATTTTCTCGCATGATGTATCGTTTGAAAGCCCGAATTTTGCACTTTATACTCGTGACCGTTGCTAGGCAACCCGATAAATACGCGCTAGACAACAATTCAATCGGGCTTTAAACAATTCAATCGGGCTTTAAACAATTCAATCGGGCTTTAAACAATTCAATCGGGCATAATCAGTCGGGCATAAAGCCATCGGGGCTTAAACAATTAGTCGGGCATAACCATGTCTATGATACAATTAAGTCGTGCAAAATGTCCTACAAACGCTTTTATTTGGCTTTCCATAAAAAAGATGGTAGATGTTAACAATCCATAAGTGCTTCTTCTTCAGCATTCAAAGCGATGTGTAAGGTTAATATTGGAAGCTGTACGTGACGGAAACGTTGAAGAGGATGAGCTTGATACTCTCCGATTTAGACTTGACTGGATAATAAATATGATGACCAGATCAGCCTCTTCATTACAAATTGACAATGAACTATTGCAAACTCTCATTCATTCAGCAAACTCATTAGGTGAGGCGGACAAAGATATCTATCATTGCTACCGCGTAGGGAGAATTTTTTCAGGAGAGCGTGGTAGACCAAAGTACAACATTTCTAGAGAGCAGTTAGAGTTGTATTTGCATTACGGTTTTTCACTTGGCAAAATCAGTGAAATGCTTTTCGTCAGCACGAAGACCGTCAGGCATAGAATTGAAGAGTTCAATATAAAATCCATGGCTTTCTCTGACTTGAGCAATGAGGACCTAGACACTGTAGTATCGGAAATAATGAGAGAATTTCCAAACTGTGGCTCCAAGCGTATGTCGGGCTTTCTGCTGGCCAGAGGTCTTCAAATTCAACAGGCGAGAGTACGCGAAGCACTACGTAGAACGGATCCAGATGGTGTATTACTAAGATCACTACAACTAAGAACGATTGCAAGACGTAGGTATAATGTGAAAAGCCCCCTTTCCTTATGGCATCTAGATGGCCACCACAAATTGATAAGGTAATTGTAGAATATTTATTTGTTGTTGGTTGTATAAGAGGTCATCATTAGAATTTGGCCTCATTTTATTATGTGTGTGGCTCTGAGCATGTACTTAAGCCTGGTAACCTTGGATTTGATTGGAAATTTAATTTCTTGTCAAATATCCCATCAGGGAACTTGTTTTATAGTCAAATAGAATCAAATTTCTGCTATTGAAAAATACAAGACCAAAAAAGTTTGGATATTTATTAATAAAAAACCATTCATGAATATTTAAAACAATGAGAAAAATCAGCACTTTGATCTGTATTCGCCACCATTTTGCAGAACTGATGACACACACTTGGCGACAAAATTTAACCAAATGTACCGTACTTCATGGACCTGAGATTCCACTGTGTCCCTCATTATATATACAAAATGGCCTCCTATTTGTTTCAAATTTGTCAAATACAGTACCCCTGCCGTGGGACTGTACTGATGGCCAAATTCCCCACTCACTGGATATACTTTCTCATCAAATCCTGTCCCCTTGCTCCAGCTCCCTGATTTCCTAATGTTCAAGTGTATTTTTGCACTTTTCAACAGTTCTACTTTTTTGGGGGGACAACTAGTCAAGAACTTTTAAGGCCTGGGGCAAAGTGGCCCCCTCAGCGGTCCTGCCCCTTATGCGCATACATACTAAATGACTCTTCCCTTGCATAGATAGGAAATTTTGTACATGTATAAGAATATTGTAGTCCAAAAATTTTTAGGTGGCGTTTCGTCATTCATGGCTGCATAGATGGCTACTCAAGAAAAATTATGTTCTTGTCCTGCAGTACGAATAATCAAGCTTCCACGGTGCTCGATTATTTTTTGGAGGCTGTTGGTTTGT